ACCACAGTCTTTGTGCCCCCAGATCTATTTTCCTAAACCACAGCAATAATAAAAATCTCAGTAGCAGCCTGCCAGCAAACAGTTTATAAAAGTTTTACAGACTTTTCAAAGTCACCTTCTTTTATTTTAATCCAAGGCACGTTTGATACAGGTCCTCCTCATCAGAGTTATCTGCTCATTAATCACACACAATTTCACCTGCCTCTTCAAATGGGAACATTTTGCTGCAGCTGCTCCCGATGAGAGCCTTCACTCTGAGTAAGTGCTGCTTTTGCTGAGCACTTAATGGTGATGCCAAAGAGCTGGATTCATTAAAATGAACTCCGCATTAAAACACTTCAGCGTGTGCTTATCTTTCAATACACAGACTTCTGCACAAAGTATGAGTCTCGAGTTAAGCAGGTCTCTGGTATTTCAGTGACAAAGGGGGGTACCAGCAGGCCCCTTCTTTCATTATAGCATGAGATCAGATTAATGAAACATCCAGCAGTGGGAATTACTTTGCTGGGAAGCCAAGCTGCCTGCCTTATCTGCAAGACATGCTGATGGGAAACCTCAAAGGCAAAAGCTCAATATCTGAATTAATCCATAATCAGCTACCACTGTCCTCATAGGTTTGGGCATGCACCATTACACTTTGTTTCCTGCAACTGGCAAGAAAAAGCTGATGTGAAACTGTTGATAGAAAATTCCTACACCGATTTCTGGCACCATTTAAGCTCTATCTGATGAATGAAGATTACACTGACAGGATGTCCATCAGACTATTTCAGTGTGGAAGTATTAAAACTTGTTCCGCAAGGCTATTAGAAAAAGTAAAATAAAAATTACCTAAAATATACCACAATAAATTTAACTGTATAAATACATTACAAAATCTGGAGCTTTACACAAGTTGTGCTTTTTAAGAGGCATCCCTGAAATTAGATGCTTCTGCCCTAGTTTCTGTCCTGTTTTCAGCTGGGACAGAGTTGGTTTTCTTCATAGTGCCTGTTATGGTGATGTGCTGATGTGGTTTTAGGAGAAAAACAATCTTGGTAACACACTGAGGTTTACTTGTTGCTGAGCAGAGCTGTGCAGAGCCACAGATATTTCAGTTTTCCAGTACTGTCCTGTCAGCAAGGAGGCTGGAGGGCACAAGGAGCTGGGATGGGACAGAAACAGGACAGCTGACCTAAAGTGGCCAAAGGGCTATTCCACACCATATGGCATCGTGTGAGAAGTCTATAAAGTTAAGAGCTGGTCGGGGGCAGCCACTGCTCAGGGACTGGCTGGAATTTGGCCATCCCATGGGAGGCAGGGAGCGAGAGGCTGTGTGGTGTTTAGCTGCTTGCTGGGTTAAACCACGACCATTTCATAGAATCATTTAGGTTGGAAAAGACACAGACAGAAGATGAACAGATCCAACCATCACCTGACATTACCAAGTCTGCAGCTAAACCACGTACCTAAGCACCATGTCCACACATCTCTTACACACTTCCAGGGATGGTGACTCCACCTCCCTGAGCAGCCTGTTCCAACGCCTTACCACCTTTTGCATGGTCTCTAATGTAAATCTCACCTGGCACAAGCTGACTCTGCTTCCTCATGTCCTACCAGTTGTCACCTGAGAAGTGAGCCCTCTACAGCCTCCTTTCAGGTAGTTGTAAAGAGTGATGAGATCTCCCCTCACCCTCCTCCAGACAAAACAATCCCAGTTCCCTTAAATGTTTCCTCTACGTCTTGTTTTCTTGTCCCTTCACCAGGGATATTTAGCTGAGACAACGTGGCCACGATCTCAGGCTTATTCAGGGTGGTAAACAATAGATTTTAAAACCAAATTTTATCTGCTGGTGTGCAATGAAAGAAATTGCTATTATCTTCCCTGATCGCTTTCCTGTGAATAAAGACAACTTTTCCATAAGGCATGGATTTGCCCACACCTGATATGGATTCTGGAGATTCAGTCCAACGAGTCAGAGCAGGCTGGAAGTTGATGCACCTACAAAATATGCTTCAAATGAGAGGCCATTAAAGGCTTGCGATGAACAGGATATTCACAATAAATCTCCTTAGAGGTGTCTAGCCATTAATAGGTATTCATTCATCTATTCCAAAAAGAAAATAAAGAGTTCATTCATCTTTACAAAGACACAGAACATCAGGCCTTTTCAGGACTAACTGCTGTGAATATGTATATTGACCCTGAAATAAATCACTGGAGTTTTGTTGTTACTTTCAGTAGAGGTCAGTTTTCACTCAATCTTACTTTAAGGCTTGTGTTACACCTAGGACACTCACTTCTCTAATTTGAAGAAAAATGGCTGAGGTCTTGTGTATACGTTCCTTAAAAACAGGGCTTTGAACTGGTGTGGTTAAATTTGTACAAAACATAACATGGGCAGACGTCCCTGGGCTTAACTCTGTTTTAGCACAACCTACATTGGTTACTGACCAAGTGTAGTGCCATGAATACAGAGCAGTTTTAAATCCAGCTAAGCAGTGTCCACTGAGACTGAGTTTTAAAGTACATATTTAAATTTCCAGTACTAAAACTTTGAAATAGATACACCTGACGCTTCTGCATCTCAGCAAGCTTAACTGAAAGCTATCAGGGCTTTCAAAAAAAAAAAAGATTAAATAAGAAACATTTGTCAGTCAGCAGAAAGTTACCGTTCTCTCAGAAGCTATCCAACAATATTCAGTCTACATTGTGTCTTATGAGCATTAATATGGTTATTTGGAAAGATCATATAAAAATTGCTCGTCTGACAGCAGAATAGTAAATGTTACCCTCAGGTTGCTCCAGCTACACCGAATGTTGCCGTTCTAAAACTAGACTGTTCGTTCTTGATTTAAGATAAAACAAAAAGCCAGTCGTGCATCTGAATGTTAAGGATGAGCGTTCGTTTTCACAGGCACAAACATCACAAATCCAAAGCATGCTAATTAATTTCAATGACGTAGCTGTGGACGGGAAGCTGAAAACAAGGCAGGCAAGTGTAAACACAGAGGGGGGAAAAAAAAAACCATAACGAAACACCAATTACATCAGTGAAAATCTCTTCTCATGCACACACTTCAGATTGGTGTTCCTACAGCAGTAACAATCTACCAAAAAGTGCAGCGTGTCAAAAAAGAAAAAAAATGATAATAATTCAGCTTTGGTAGGGACAAAAGCAGTTTTTGCAGCGTGCCTTAAGACCTCCCCATGTGTCATTCTACCTTTGAACCGCCGTGGAAGGAAGGCACCGTCACGCTGAGCAGAGCGTGGGGTCACATTTTAACACCAGCTGGGACAAAATCAGGTCGGAGCAAGCTGAGGAAAAGGCTCTTTCATTTCCCTTCGAAACATTCGTTAAGGATTGCCTGAAACCACCAGGAATGGAACCAGAAACACCTGACTGGTCCCAAGACCAGAGCGGCCTCAAGCTTAAAGCTGACCCTTGCTTTCGGAAAAGCAAAAAGCGAATCCGAATCACTGCTGTGTTCCGAACCACACCTGAGCCCAGTGCCCCAAGCCCACGGCACTGCTGCCAGGCACCCCATAACCTCCCTGCCCCATGTGGGGAGAGTCAGTGAGGTGCTGTGTGCTGCTGTTGGCCTGTGGCCTTGCTCGGCACGAAGGCAAGGCCGAGCGGCAGCTTCCCCCACACAGCCTGCATCTCGGGAGGGAAAGAGCCCCTCTGCTCCATCAAGTAAAGCTATTAACACACCCTACATGTCAGTAGAAATGTCTGAGTTTTGGGTGGATGCTAAAAAATTGCTTAAGTTTTTTGCTTCGGGGACTTTTCCACAAGCTAACAAACTCGACAGGCTCTCCTTTGTGGAGACAAAAAACATTCAGTTGGTCTTTTCTGTTCCAAACCAGGTCTGCACTGGTTGATCTGGTTGCAAATCGTAAGCGCATCTCACTGGAACTATCAGCATAGGAAGTGCTTATCACGTCGTATATGGCACAGGTACTGGCAGTCCAACGTTACCTTCTGCTTCTGCTCAGAGCAAACAGCTCGCAGAATATTCCTGCGCAGTGCACAAGCTTCAAAACAAACGTCAGGTTTCACGCGCAACACAAAGCTATGAGACGCTACAGTATTTAATGCACGCCAGTAGGAAAGGCTCCTAAAAAAATACTCCTCGGTTTCTGTGCCGTGGGATAGGTAACAGCTATTTCGTAGAAATAGATCCAACTGGCTCCATTGGAGCAGCAGTATAAATACTCAAAATAGAAGTAATAATAGGCCCTGTAGGCCCTGACGTGGAACTTTTGTTTTGTTTTCCCCCAAATCTGTTCCTTCCGTCAGCAAGGAAAACACTCTGCTTCCAAACAACTGCATCTGGCTACAAGGAGTATAGCTGTGTATTCCTGGGGTGGATTTTACTGAAATGTGCCACATCGTTGCTAACGCTGTTGGATTTAAGGAAGTATTTTAGGCATTTTAGTGGTTATCATTAATCTCATTAACAAAGAAGGAAAGAAACGACCACAGGAAAAAAAAAAAAAAAAGCAACAAGAAGGTACAATGGGCTTCCTAACATGGGCACACTTATGAGAAGACTGCTCCAACAACAGGCTGCATGGCTCAACACGTAGCAAGACAACTATTTTCCAGAATCAATAGTGATAACACAGGCATGCCAATGGCTCTGTTCTCTGTCCCTGGGCCCACCCATCTTCTTGCCAGGGATCCACAAGTATGCGTTATTTGCTGAGGCCAGCAGGTCATGGCTTTTTCTGATGGACTTCTCCAATGGGCACAGTGCAATGGCTGCCAAAGGATCCACGCATTTAGCATAACCAAGAAAGAAAAGAAGGTGCAGAGCTGAATGGAAGCCACAGGGTGTAAATATTTTGATTTACATCATTCTGTTCCAAAGAAAAGTAAGCAAAAACGAACATCCAGAAGTGAAAACAAACTGATAACTGGATTTATCATTGTGCATAGGATGGATTTTTTTTTAAGTTTAACTTTAAGGGTATTTTTTCCTAAGGTTTAGGAGGGTTCTATGGTTTCATGTTTTTTTTTTTTAAACCTAGGGTTTGCTATGTCTTTATTACCAATATTTGCCATTGCTTGTACCATAGACAAAAACATTCATCTAGTTGGTATTATATTAACACACTTGTAGTAGAACATATACAAGAATGGGGAAAAAAATGAATCAGAAGTGATCAGTGCTTAAAGTAAATACAACAGCCAGCGCTGGCAAGAATCCACAGTATCAATACAAACAAATGTAGCTGTGATAGTGTTCCTGATGGGGTTGGATCTGCCTGTGTATTAATACAGAATTATACAAAATCTAGCAAGGATACTGGAACAATGAATAGCTAAATTTTCACAATAACTTAAGATCTGTGAGCGAGTCTGCGTTGTAGATATTACACATTTTAAAAGTGCCATCTCTCTCTCCATCTTCTTCCCTCCCAGAGGAGGTGTGACGAATCCACATGATCTGCCATCAGAGAAGTTCAACTGTTTAAGAAAAAGACAAATATCTGGCCAGGTCCAGTGTATTCTTTAAAGAGTGGCAAACAATGACTTCAGTAACTATGTCTGTGCAAAATACGCCTCTTTCCTTTTAAAGAAACCAGTGTCTGTAACTCATTTAGAAAAGTTTTGACACGTACTGATGTCCTCAGAACAAATAAGACGTGAACTATAGAATCCCCCCAAAACTACAAGAAATCTGATGAAGCAAATAAAGTTCTGACCTTCCGTTTCCAGGTGTAGATGACAGAAAAACAGGACGTCTCCTCGTAGCCCTCCTGGGCTGGCAATCAAACTATTGCTTGGAAATACCACAAACAGCCTATTAATAAAACGCCGACATCAATAATAAAATGGTAGCAGTGTTTATCCTTTAAATCCATGTTTACCTTCCATTCCTCATCACACCTGTACAGGATTCATTATTTACGGTGCAGTCACTGTCTGTTGCCTTGACAGTCTTCTTTTAATAAGCAGTCAATCCACTCATATGTTGAGTACCTTGAATTAAATTCCCATATTACACTGCCCTGTGACTTTTGGATCATTACAGGAGACCCAGAGCTCAGAAGGAGAAGCTGCAACACAGGATGTTGATCTCAGGCAATAAAAAACCACAACTAAAACAAACAACAGTAACAACAACAACAACAACAACAAAAAAACACAACCAAAAAAATCCCAGAATTCTCCTCAAAAATCAGCCCCTGTATGATGTACCCTCTTCTGCATTGTAGCAATAGTCTTAAGACATAAATTAGATTAGTCTTCCATCAAATAACTTAAAAAAGGAATTGTAGCAGACCAGTTTTGCCTGGCTTGATGCCAGTTAGCAGCCAGTTCATCTAGAGACCAGTCACTGTTCAAAAACTGAGCTAAGAAATCACATGAATGTTGAAAAAAAAAAAAAAAAAAAAAAAATTCATCTTCACATCGATGCAGGATTTTTCCAGGTTGTGGGGGTCGGGGAGAGGGTAAACCAAGATGGGGCACAGGTCCTATGGACAGGATATACTTCACGACTTGGAGGTGCACCGCATTCAGGAGATGCCAGCCGTGGTTTGTATTGCACAGGTAAGAAGGACGTTCCTCCTGACAGTCTGCGATGTGCGTTAGTGATCTCTGCACATGGGCAAGTTCACAAAAGTGAAAACATTGAATTCTGTCATGATGGAGAAACACAGGAAGATGCCATACAGGGAAAGGCACACGCACCCTAGCTTCTTATCCAGTTTCCATTTGTTCATGTGCACGCCGAAAACCTACAATAAACATAGAGTAAGCCACCACAGCAGGATCAGTTTGAATAAAGTGGTAAATCCTTTGTCAATTACAGGAGCATGAAAATGACTGTGCCCATGCCAAATACAATCAACTGGAAGCAGTCATAAGGTAGGTACTGCAACAAGTGAGCTAAAGCCCACTGCTAAAGTAAATCTGAGCATCTCCCTCATAGAGCTTGGAGCCATATTGACTTGCATCCCCTTGACTGCTGGCCAAATGGCCCTACGTTTCTGCAATGAATTTCACTTTGGTAATTCAATTGGAAGTGCTTTAAAAGGCTATATTCCCTTCTATTCATTTATAACACTTCCAGTCTGTCTTTGTCTCTCAATTTGGAGCTGAACCAGCTAAGGCTGTGCCTGATTTTGCTTAGTTTGCTTCAGCACAAACCTCTTGCAGTTAAAGTCCCTTGTGCAGGAGAACTGTGCTGGTGTGCTGCATAGCACACTCCCTGCCATAGCAGCTGGTCTGGGGAGTTAGAAGATGACACAAGGATATATTAATCCTATTCTCTTTGTTTTTCCTAGTCTACTTTCATGATGGACTTGGCAAGGTCAGGGAACAGGAGCCACTGCTTTCAATAGAAACATTGGCACATCCCAGCACAATTTGTTCTGGCCTGTGTTGTATCTTGGAAGGTTGTTGCACAGCCAACTGTGCAGCATTTACTGTATCTCTTCAACAGGAAAATGCATCTTTTCATACTTCAAGGGATCTGATTCAGTGTGAGCATGCTAAATGACTGGGGATTACTAGTGGACCTGCAGAGGTTATCCTGGGGAAAACATAAATACAAGAAACATCCTGTGACAGTGATAGCTTCTGTCAAAAGCCAGATTAAAGTACTGGGAAGTTTACAACAGCAGCGACCATTTCTATCCCTTAACAACAGCCTTTGCAATCACAACTTCAGCTGGAGGTGAGAAAAGAATGAAGTGAAGGAAATATCTATAAAATCACTCTTTTGGAAATAAAGGACAAAAGACTATATACATACTGTGACAAAAACAGATGCCAGCAAAAGACCAACAGAATAGATGAGTCCTCTGCTGTTTAACCGAATCTGGAAAAGAAGGAAGTTCACAAAACCACGTCACAATTTCAAGCAACAATAATTCTCTCTGCCAGTCATTCGGTAAACCTCAACTGCTGAATTGCTGGACACTGCCTTGCAAGCTGTCAAAGCCAAGTCAGATCACTGCACTGTGGGTATTGCTAATGCAGTGATAAGCAGCACTGCAATTTTGTGATTGACACCATGCACAACTGCTGAAGCCCTCCTATCATTTTGTCTCACAGCCAAAGAAAAACTGCTCACCCAATAAGCTGAATATTATTCCTAAATCCTAAGCAATTATTTAGCTTCGTTCCCCAAGTGCATCTGAAGGGAGAGTCTGACTTTCAGAATGGAGGATGGAGTTATCAGTCCTGGCATCTCACTAACTTGAGCCTGCAATGAACTCTGCCCACTCAGGAGCCTCTGTGAAAATCTGTGCTGGAGACAGACAAGCATGCTGCAAAAACAGGGCAGGGTATCTCTCTTCACCTGCATGTACCATTTATGGTGGGGATGGGCTGATGGTTGGACTTAGCAGGAGCTTTCAACCCTAACGATTCTATGTTCAATACCTGTGCAAATGGCTACAGCACAATGGCCATTGGCTCTGAAAGGTACTGCTGTTTCATTAAGACATAAGCTGTAAGTGTGTGTGTGTGCAGAACACCTAATCATGTAGTCATTACATGCAACATCCATACAGCACTCTCACCAGACTGACTGTCCAAAGACATGAAAGATTTGAATTGCTTCAGAATGTGAAGGCCAATTTTGGCACTAACTGCTTAACCGAGGGTGAAAATGTCACAGTCCCACTAGTAATGTGAACTCCAGGTTCAGAAGGAAGCCTATTTCTGCAGCTATAGAAGTCCAAGGCCACTTCCACTTGCAGTTTCTATTACTGGACTCAAGCAAACACTGAAGTTTTGCTGAAATAAGAACTGCTCTTGGGATGAGACACATACATCACGTTCTGACCCAGGAGATGCTTTTCTTCAATAGTGTTCTCCCTGAGGAGCCAGAGCAACCTAATGTGGGGCTCTGTGCACACATCACTGCTGCATGTAAGTAGGTCCTCTTCAGTTTCCACTAATATGAATGGTCCACAGAGGACAGCCAACCTGTACTGCCATCTCAGTTACTCTAAAATGCAAATAAAACACAAAACAAACCGCAAAGACCTCAAATATACTAACTCTGTATAGCAAAAAACTAAGGCCAGATCACCCCCACCCCAGACGAGCAGTAACTCTGCAGGAAAGAGAGATGCTAGTTTACAATAAAATCCCATCTGGATTTTTGTCAGGAATTTAGCATGGCCAGGGCCGACGTCTGTAAGAACTGTCAGTATGAAATATACCAGTCGGAAAGGAATCTACAGAAAAAGGAAGCAAATGAAACAGACTGAATTATTTTAGCACGGAAAATGTCTGAATTCAACCTGAGGTGCAGACACTGCTTCTCCAACACAGCACCAGCCTCCATGAAATTTCTCTTCCAGACACATGGAAGGACGACAGGCCATCAGGCCTCTGACTATAGTTTGCTGAGGATGGTGCTTCCAAAAATACTTGGGGCTGCTTTATTTGGAATATCTGCAAGGCCCTTCCTTGGAAGTCACTCATGGGAATAGCTGTTGCTGTGAAGAATTATCTGAAATTAAGAAACGTACGCTAATTATTTAAGACACGTTGACGAATGTAACAGTAATACATGTCATGCTGCTTATCCCATAAGGGCAAAGCAAATGGGGTAACCTCAGCAGCAGCGTGAGCACCGGCTGCCCCTTGTTGTGGTACTGCACTGAAAAACTCAAGTTTCACTCCAGGTGAATATTTTTCAGCTCTGGTTTTAGTTTAGCAATGTTCCTGGCCTGGGATCGAGCCCAGCTCCCACTGTTAGCCCAACTATTGGCTATTAATTAACCTAGATGACAAGGTTAACCTAGCCTTCCTTTACGAGGCTTGGTTGGTCCTGCAGAAATAAAGGATTTCCTGGGAGGAAAGAAAGGCTGTTTTCTAATGCACTTCTTATTTTCTGCACCGCAAAAATCAGGCTGTTTATTAGGGTCGTTGTCTTTTTTCAGATTACCTCTGGACTGTAGGATTAAAGTCCTTCCATGCACATAGTGAAGGGTGGTTTCCTTGGAGGAAAAAATGCTAGCTGAGGAATGCACTTTGTCCGGAAGCTCATTTGGCTGAACTAGATACATATCACAGCTGTACTTTGTGGAAGAAAAAATGAAACTGTTTGAGTGCAAATCCTTGTCAGTGAACTCAAAGCATGATAAAAGCTATGCAGAATACCAGAGGTGGCTCAGGGGGTGATGTGTACATGGCATCTCCCTGCCATGTCACGGAACAGGCAGGAAGGGCACAGAGGAGGACAAAGAACAGGCAATAAAGCAATGAGAAGGCAGTGAAAACCAACAGAAAGATAGTTAGAGCAAACTGACATTGATATAAGCCTGCCCTCACAGCAGAGCTGCCCTGGGAGGGCTGTGAGCTGATGGCCATGGATGGGTGCAGGGTGCAATTCCAAATGCACTGGACTTGGGAACACACACTGTGTGGTGTTAGTTCACCTGCATGCAAATGTCTGATGAGTATGGCTTGCTGACTGTGTGCAAAGCACCTGTGTATAGTGTGCACAGGGCAATGGCACAGTTCTGGTGCTGTGTCTAGGGCCTCTGGCTTATTTAAGACAGCCCTGGAGCAAGCTGATTCACAGCAGTACAAAACCTCCCTCATAGCAGATACAGTTCCTGCTGAAGCCTGTTCCTGAAAAGGTTTCTTGGAGCACTTCAGCGCTTTGAGATCCTCATATTGAGAAGAAAACCACAGCTATCTAGGTCTGTTCAGGTCAAAGATGCAATAGGGGTATTTTTTGCTAAATATACTCACTCCACTGAAGAAAGATCTCCTGGGAGCCAGCTGAAACTCACTGCCAAGCTTATCGGGGGGCTGCAGCCAGAGGGCTTGGAGATGTTCTCCAGTAAGTCTTGCACTGGTGCTTCAGCAGGATAAAAGCACACATTCCCTTCTATCAACTCTGCTACTGGGCACTGAGCTATCGAATTCTTGCAGTAAGAGTAACCAGAGGACCTCTGCCAAAACTCTTGGCTAGCCAATGTCTAGCTCTGCAAGTAGAAAAATAATGGAAACTTCAAATATTAATAATGTTTGTTTCCAACAAATGCTGCTGTTACTCATCTAACACCAGCAAAGAGAGCACAAGCTTTCAAATGTGCCTGGTTCAGATTTGCTCCAAGCATGCTGGGCTCTGGAAAGCATTGCCACTAAATGGTGCACAGCAAGGGTTGCTCATCAGAGCAAGGAGGCAGGTATGACAGCTTCCCAGTTTTCTCCTGCCTGATAACATAGTAGAGGTTTTCCTGCAATTCCTTTCTATTTAGGCCTGTATTGAAGCCACCTGCCCACAGCAAAGGCTGCAATCACAAAAAGCACACAGGTAAGCACACTGCTTTAATTCTCTCTCCAACCCTGGTGGCCTCTCAAATTTTCTCATCCAATGCCACTTCACTGCAAAGCGAAACATGAACCATGGAATGCTTTATGTAGCATTGATCAGTGGCTCTGAGATGTTGTTACATCCAAATTAGGCTGAATGGCCACTATTCACTTATTTTTTCCATTCTACAGTTGCCTACAGAGTCCTTAACTTTTCTGTGGTTGGTTCTGGACTACCTGCTCCTTTTCACAAACCTCCCATAAACTACAGCTGTGGTGTTATTGTTTTGACTGATGAACTTCACTGTTGATCAATTCAGACTTTTAACTGTGAGTGCAGGAGCTGCAAAGACTCTGAAATCTGGTACAAAAGCTCAAGAAAAATGTGTCCTTGATCTGTCACATCTGGGTACAAATCAGTCAAGCATCCTTCTCAAAGACACGTGGTATTTTCTCAAGTCAGTGAGATGCCTTTCCTCAGGGTACATACAAGCCTGGGGAAAACAACACTACAAAAGCTTCAAAACTCATATTAAGGAAGGAGATTTAATTCCAGATTTCGCAGAAAACAGAGCCTCAGCTGGAACCTTCTTAATTATGGAAGAAAAGGCTCAAATCTCTGCTTAAACATAGGAAATGCTTCTACTCCAGGGAAAACTTTCTGCAAACGAAGTGCTTGCTTGTACTGCAAGAAGGAAAAGTCAGCATTCCCGAACTGTCCTTTGAGGCTTGGCTTGTGTCTAGCAGCTGAAGTGAGCCAGAACAACTCTGTTTTGACTGATTACACATGAAAGGCTTGCAAAAGTTCAAATCCTACTTTGTCTGCATTTAAATTGAGGCTATCTGCCTGCATCCTGTGTAGAAAACATGAAGATGCTGTCACCAACTCCTGCTATTCCCAGACAGCTCTTGCGGGCAACAAGAAACTGAGGGTAAAGCTAAACAGCAGAGGAAAAACAATGGAAATAAAATCAATGTAATTCCATTCTTCAGTTTTCCTTCAGCTCCTGGCAATTGCTGAAAGGAAAACAAGGAGCTGGTGCCAAAAACCAAACTGGTTTTGCTCCAGGGTTCAAGTATGAGAAAAATTACCTCATTCGAGAATATTAAAAGGACTCTACTATGTTTCCAGTACCTCAGTTGCAAAAGTCACAGGTCCCAAGTCTGCTTGAGTACCCTTTTCCTGCAGTGCCTTTGCCAGACAGTGGAAAGTCAAAGTTTCTGCATTGCCCAGGTCTTGCCATGAGACAAAACTGAAACTCCACAAATTGGAAATTCAGACACATAGTGTATTTCTGCACGTTTCAAAGGCATTTCCTTCTTCCCAAGGCTCTTTTGTGACACCTGAGAAAGCATTCCTGCTTAGCTCTATCACACCATTCACTCTGCAGAAGGTACATACCCTGGAGTATGCAATGTAGAGTGCTGTGCACAGACACAGAAGGTATTAAGCAAGAAATGCAGAGGCTATGGTTGGAGGAAATTCCTCCACTGCTCAGAGATTTAGAAGGGATCAGGTTCTTTTGCTTTGATACAGCATCATCATCCCAGTCTCCCTGTCCAGGGAGCAAAGTGATTCAGTAGATGCAAAGTACTCCAGAAGCTTTGGAGATACTAGATATGAGCCTCAGTGTCCACCTGCTGCCATGCCCATCTTCAGGCTTTTGGGATGTGCTAATAAATTAATCCATTAATACCTGCTGAGTTGCATACTGCTGCTAGAGTAATTGCAGCATATCACGTTCCAGATGCAACAGTGAAAGCTAGAAAGCTTGCTTGCTCAAGTTACTTCCCTTGAGTGTCCACTTACCACTGGATTTTCTCATCTAGGAACTAGAGCTCCCTCACCTCCTTCTGTGGATAGATCTGAATACTCTTACAAATGCAGACATGAACAAATGAGCCCGGATGCTTACCCTTAAGCTAAAATTCCTGTTCCCTAAAATACTCCTGGCTCACGTCTGTTTTAATAGCTTCACATGTTAAAAAACTAAAATGTTCCAGAAGGAAGCAATTGGATACAAGACACAGAGCAAACGTCCTCCCACTCTGGATTTGCCAGGCCACTGGGGAAGGATTCTTACAAGGTTACAGCTTCAGTAACATGTCCAGGACTCAGAGCTGAGATGAGAAAACAAACTTTTTCAAAGGCCTGTCTGGGTCCAGAGGGATGCTGCTTATTTCCAAAAGCCCTTCTGGCATGCTGGCCCAGCCACAGTTGATATGATGAGGCCAGAGCTGCAGCAGGAGGGCAGCCAAGTGACCACTAAGTAGCAGTGACAGAAGGAAGTGCTTCCATAGGGAAGCACAACCAGCCACAAGCTTGTAGGCTGTGCCTCAACCAAAGCTCACTGCCTTCAACCAAAATGCACCATCTGTAAAAATGAGCTCTGAAACATCCATGCCTTTTTAGGGAGTTTAAGGAAGGCTCAGACCCAAACTCTTTGTACAAAAGGTGCCAGAGCAGACTGCTCTCCATCTTAAGAACCCCACAAACCTCCTGAGGTGCTGCTTGGCTGCTACAGCATGAAGCCACTTCACTGCACGTGGCTGAGGAAGGTCAGGAGGTGCACACTCACAGGACACCATGCTGGGTTGTGCTTGTGCACATTGCAGCACAAGGAGAAAGGGAACAGACCCTGTCCTCCCTTTCAGCACAGTAGCATGTAGCAGAATTCTGCCTTTACATCAGCAGATCAGGGAACACAGTTTGGCCACAGGGAATTCTAAGTCAGGCAGCCTGAAACAAGAGATACTTGGCAATGGGATTTTACAGTGTGATGTTCAAGAAGGCCCTGAGCATTCAGCCTTTCACAACAGGAAGGCTGTTGGGTGCATATAGGAAGCTCTTCTGTTTTAGAGCTTAACTTTGCAATCAGGCAGTCTGCTTTTCTGCTGGCTTCCACAAAACATATCGCTGCCATAAAAGCTTCTCTCTTAAAATGCAATGACACTCTATTTTCAGCAAGAGCTTAGCTTTGGTGCAGTCTTCCTGCATCAGGGAGGAAGTATTTGGGTGGCTGTGAAAAAGTAATCATGTTCAAACAAGTGGTTGGTTTGGGGTTGGTTTTTTTAATCTTTTCTTTTAGAAAGCTCTTTCCCTTTGTATACAAGACAGGAGAATCACAATTACTATTACCGTGTGTGTGTGCACATGTACGTGGGGTGGTGGAGATATGAAGTCTGCTTATCCAAGGTTTTGGAGAGAAATACAGAAATCGTAAGTGAAAACTAAGAGAACCCTGTTTGCTAATTGTGGGACTGTTTCCAAGGCTGTTTTTTCTACCCACGTGATTGCAGCGTACAATGAACATTTTGGGTGTGCAAAACAGTAGCAACATTGTTGTGTCCCCACGAAAACTGGCTGCCTCTGCTCAGTGACTTGTTCTCATTCTTGTCAAGGAAACAAACGTTAACGAATGTAGATGAGCTACAGATAAGTTACTCCTTAGAGAAAAGGATTTTATTCCTACAGCACTGCTTCCTTTTGTCAGTCCTAGAATCAAGGAGGGGAACGGGGGTGAACAAGGAACTGGATGCTGCCTGACTAATACCTGGGAAGGTGATGAAGCAAATAATCCTGGGAATGATTTCTAAACATATGAATGACAAGAAGGTGATTGGGAGACGAAGGGGAAATTGTATTTACCCAGCCAAATACCATTCTATGACAATTCTATGGTTGAGGTGAACTTGCATGAAAGGAGACCAACACGTGTTAATTGCATTGACTTCAGCAAGGCATTTGACACTGCCTCTCATGCATGCTCACAGACAGAGGAAGAGCAGATAAAATACACGGGTGGTGGAGAGGGCTGTTAGCAGATGAACTGCTGTGTTCAAAGGCTGTGTTCAGCTGCACAGCATCCAGCTAGAGGCCAGTGGTGTACCCCAGGGGTCAGTACTGCTTCACACCTTCAGTATTGGCATGGATGATGGGCCAGAAGGCAACCTCAGAAGTTTGCAGCCAATACAAAACTGGCTGGAGTGGCTAAAGCACCAGGAGGCTATGTTGCTATTCAGAGAGACCCTGAAGAGGTGGGAAAATGCACTTCATCAGCATCAACAAAGGGAAATGAGAAGTCCTGCACCTGGGAATGAAAAACCTCATGCACCAGAATGCACTGAATCTGTCCAGCTATAAAGCAACTTGGCTGAGAAAGACCTCCTGGTCCTAATGGACACCAAGTACAAGCCCGCAATGCACCCTTGTGGCAAGCAGCACCAACAGCAGCCCGGGCTGCGTTAGGAGAAGCACTGCCAGCAGGTGGAGGGAGGGCATCCTTCCTCTCTTCTCAGCACTAGTGAGACACATTTTCAGAGCTAGGTCCGGTTCTTGGCTCCCCAGTGTAAGGGAGACAGCTACTCACTGGAGAAAGGGGCTGTAAGGATGACTTAGGGCACTGCAGCAGCTGAGAGACCAAGAGAACTGGGACTGTTCAGCCTGGAAAAGAGAAGGCTCAAGGGCATCTTCTCAGCATGTGTAGATACCTGATGGAAGGGCACAAAGAAGGTGCAGCCAGACTCCTCCCAGTTGTACCCATTGAAAGAGCAAGAGGCAATGCACACCATTTGAAATACAAGAAATCCCATTAAGAGAACACTTAGCTTTTTACTGCGAGGGTGGTTAAAACTGGAACACACAGCTGAGAGAGGCAGCGGTGCCTCCTCCACCCTCAATGATATTAAGGAATCAACTGCACACGGTCCTAAGCAACCTGCTCTGGCTCACCATGCTTTGAGCAGAGGTTTTAGGCCTTGATAATCTCAAGAGGTACCTGTCAAGCTCAAAAACCCTGTGATTCTATAGTCCTAACTTTGCAGTCATTTAGTGATTGATAGGACAAGGGGAACGGTTTTAAACTGAGACAGGGGAGGTTTAGGTTAGATATCAGGAGGAAGTTTTCCACCCAGAGGTCGGTGATGCACTGGAACAGGTTGCCCAAGGAGGCTGTGGATGCCCCATCCCTGCAGGCATTCAAGGCCAGGCTGGATGTGGCTCTGGGCAGCCTGGTCTGCTGGTTGGCGACCTGCACATAGCAGGGGTTGGAACTGGATGAGCATTGTGGGCCTTTGAAACCCAGGCCATTCTATGATTCTATGATTGCAAAAAAGAATCTCTCCTGTTCTCCTGAGTGTGGTCCAGCTAAAAGCAAACGCTACATCCCTCTGGGATTTCATGGTATCTCTTGTTCTATCTCAGAAGGGAACTTCCAGCAACTCTGTGCATGGTGTGCATCTTTGGGAATTACCTAGAGGTTCCATTGGTGTTGGCTAGGTTTTCTCAAACAGTAGAGCTGTGCAGTGCTTCCAGATGGTAATCATGCCCTGAAATACCCCAGTTATTTAACAGCTTCCTTCATCTTTCAGTGTGTTAACAGTTTAAAAACAGTACAATTTTTTCTTACTAAAAGTCCTACACACAAATAAACAAAATGACTGCAAATAAATGTGAGACTTACGTATGATCCATAATTCACTGCTAGGGTCTGCAAAGCCCACGGGAGGCCTAGGCCAATTAAAATATCAAAAACATTGCTTCCAATGGAGTTGGACACGGCCATGTCCCCCATACCTGCAGGAATGGAAACCAAGTACGCTCAGGCATGTCTCAGAAAAACAAACATGGCATATTCTGCATAAATCCACAACTTAATTTAAATTTGGAATACAAACAAATAAACCAACAAAAATCAAACAGTGAATTTCTGGGAAGTTTCAAGTTGCCAACCATGCCACAGCTTGCTGCACACAATCATTAAGAACCTCTCAGCTGCTTTGCAATAGCAGCAGAAGTCTTTTCCTTTGTGCTTGCCATCAACTTCAGCCTCAGGAAAAGGGCTCTGAATGTTTTCATGCTGAGGACACACTTTTTGGAGAGGACAGTGATGCACAGAAGCAACTCAACAGCAGCCAGACACCTCAGTGATGAACCCACCTTGCCTTGCTACGATAAGGCTTGCCATGCAGTCTGGCACGCTGGTTCCTGCAGCCAAGAAAGTGATGCCCATTATCACATCTGGAATTCCCAGCGTGTAGCCAATGATTGTCACCTAAGGAGTGAAACAGAACTGTCAGGTGGCTTATAAAGAGTAAAATCAGAGAGCAGCTTGGTCCAGTTCTGCAAGATGCTGTGAGACAGGTTTATTGTTCAATGCAAACTGACACTTTCTTTAAAGAGAAGACAGGCTTTTTTCACTTTTTTTTTTTTTTTTATGTTCACCACCTGGCAGAGGAAAGCACTGACCTGCTATGCACTTTCTTTGATTAGCTGCTTTCCACCTTTCATCCACTATTTTCCTGACTCTAACCTGGAGGAGAGGCTATATGGTGGCTCACTGCCCTCTCTTAACAGACTTGCCCAGAGCTCACAGATGTTACTACATGCAAACAACAGCTAAGATGACACCAAAACATCCCCAAAGATCATTACATTAATGTTACATAAATGTTATATGTAGGAACGTATATGTCACTGCAAACAGTTCTTTTTGGCAGAGAGGAGATACCTATAAGTTCCTTTGTTCCTTTGCTACAGAGTCTATGATCGATTACTGCTCTCTGATCTGATCCACGTATTAAAAATTTGGATGCCATTGTTTAATGATGCCAAATTTCCTATTAGCCGTGTTAAATGCATAGAAGAAAGAAAAACTTGATCAAGGATAATGATTGTTATTCTGAACTTTCAGCAGCATATCCCATGAAGTGTGAACCACATGCTAGAAGCAGTGACCCTATGGGTTCTAGTGTTCCAGCTATAGAAAACTGGCACAGCTTTTTTTTTTTTCTCCTCGAGGAACACCTCATCCTCACATAGGAAAAGCAGAAGAAAGCAAGTACATTTCTATTTCCTGTTCAGGGTAGCAAGGATTACTGAAAACAGAACAAAATAATAATAAAAACCTCCTGCCACTTGTTTGATTAGTTCTACTACAGGAATGAATTGTGAAGGACACTTTTTGTTGTCTCCCCGTTCCCAGAAGAAAGCTGTGGCCAGAGCTTTAGAGAGGTCTCTCCATGCTGCTTTGGTCCCGTGCTGACACAGACTGATTTGTGCACCAGTGCAGAGCCCAAGCCAGGCCTCCCTTTCTTCCCTGAAGCCAGTGCCCCATACTTCTGCTTAAGAGTAGACTACAGAGTACAGCTCAATTTCTCAAAGCTGACAAAAATCACTTCTGTTGCCTTTCTTAAGCTGTTTTCTGCTTTAGTTGGTACGTACCATCCACACCATCATGTAGGAGAAAGCTGCAATCCAGAGGGTAGAAGAAGCAAAGGTAACCATGAACCATTTCTCCAAGTGGGGTTTGTTACAGTTGGGCACTGTGAAATACAGCACAAAGCTCAATGGCCACGTGAACAGCCACTTCAAGATTTCCATTTTGCCAGCTGTAAAACAGAAGATGGGAAACAATCATGATTCTGGTTAATATGTAGGTCGCTCTGAAAGTAATGCCTCCTACGGAAATGACAACAGATACAAAGAGGACAATAACATTGCTTGATAGAGTAAATTCTCAGCTACAAAACACTGTTTTTCAACAGCCACCAGCCATTCGCAATGCATTTTTGCCAGGGATGAACAAGAGCCTGCATTCTATGCTCAGAAAAATCTGCACGAGTGGAGGTGACCCACTGTTGTCACTGCTGAAACGCACCACCCACTGCCTCCCTGTGCTACACCCACTGGTTGGTGTCACAATCATTCAGCAAGCATCAATAAGTGTCATAGCTGTGCTTTTTTTCCTATCACATGGGTGGTCAAACAGTGGAACAGTGACCCAGAAAGACTGTGGGATTCCAATCTTTGGAGCTAACTAACACTCAAGGGTGGATGCAACTCAAGGATGGCAACCTGCTCTAGAAATACCTTCTCTGAGCAGAAGTTTGAACCAGACAACTCCAGAGGTCACACGAACCTTTCTCATACCATAAATCAAGTGTTATTGTCTGCAGAACATCTAAATTATTATCTCTAAGGCTCAGTTTTTTCCCCTGCTTCAATTACAGCTATGTGTGGAGGTCTGAATAGGAGTTCCCAAAAACGTGTATAACTTGGAAATGGCAGAAACAGTCCCTATAGTATTCTGTCTTGTTTTCAACACCCTAGATCTCAACAGCTCTGGTATGACTCAAATGTAGGGCAGTCAATGGAACGAGACTGGCCTGCCCAGAGAGGGGCCCAGGTTTCCCAGAAGGAAATCCCCAGCAGAGGTTGCTGCCTTTCCCACAGACTGCAGCGGCAGGGCCAACATATGAGCTGCAGTTGAGCTGCACCAACCAGCCCAACACGTTGGGAGACACCTCGTGCTTTCCAATTAGCTGTTACCTGTGAGCAAGAACTGAACTGTGAGGTACAGACCCCAAAGTATGTCTAGATATAAGGAAAAAAATATTTTACAGTGAGGGTGATGAGGCACTGGTACAGGTGATCTAGTGTTGTGGTTGATGGCCTGTCCCTCAAGGGGAATTCTCAAGACTTTCAAGGCAAGGCTGAATAAGGCTTTGGGCAACCTGAACTAGCTGTGGTGTCCCTGTTCTTTGCAGGGGAGTTGGACTAGATGGCCAAGATTCTATGATTCCATGCTTTCTGGCATACTCAAACTCAGTTTTGCCTTCTGGAACAACACAAACCCGCAAGTTTCTTACTGGGTAGATCAAAAGGCGTGTATGGCCCTTCATGGTCATCATCGTCATCATCTTCTTCCTCTTCCTCATCATTTTCATTGTTCTCATTATCCTCATTCTCATTCTCTGTCTCATTGCCAGCCTCAGCCACGTCCTCGTCTCGCCGTGTGCCATTCACACCCCGCTCAGAAGAGTTGCTTGGACCTGTTCCATTCTCCACAACGTGCTTGATAGGTATTTTGATTGCTACTTCTGATTCACCGTTGGTGTAAGTCCTGCTGTTGATCAGTCTTTGTCTCTGTTCATACAGACACAAATTCTTGCTCAAAGACAGATTTTTTTAAAATTTAATGCTTTTTATTTTTTTTTAAAGAGAAGGGGAGGAACAGAGAAAAAGAGATGTGCAGAGTTCTTTAAACACTTGGTTTTAAAAGCAAAAAGGGATGGATTTTGGTCATGCATAATGCAATAGTTGCTTGCAGGAGCTAGACAAACATCACACTGATACAGCTTTTATGAGATAAGGACCACTAACTGTTGAAGTGACTGCAGGGATACAACAAGACAAGGGTCAGAAAGTGTAGTACCATCTTATAAAATAAAGATGTTAACATCAGATCAGATTAATGCTGGAGGCATCTGCTGTGAGCAACAGCTACAGGGATCATAACCAACCACATAATGACTTGGAACTTTTTCTGCTAAGATCTCCATGGGTACAGATAGCAAGGGATGATTTAGTACAGATGTTGTTAGAAGGATGGAACTGGGAAAAATGCACACAGGGATCCAAGAAAATCATAGAGGTCCATTTTGACCTGAACGCTGCCACAGGCAAGAGCAAATTCAGAATGAGAAAGAGAAATAAAGAGGGGAAAAAAAGAGAACAGACATACCTCATTGATTAGCATGCGGCTGGCCATGGAGAGACGTGTTTTGGGAGGAAAGTGGCTGGTTATCATGATCCGGAGCCCAGCCTCAGAAAATGAAAGCTGGTGTGGGTAAGCAGACAGCAGCTCATCCACCATGATCACTGAGGCTTTACGGTGGAAATTCCCTGCAACCAAGAAACAGAGAGAAACTGAAGACTTTGCCCACCACCAGCCTCTCTTTCCATCTTACATGGCTCTCAGCAGAACAAATCTACAGGTTCTAGAGGTCCTTTGTAAGAACCACTCCTTCAGCCACTCCACAGCCCCCTCTGCAATTTATTTCTGTCTTTACACAACAGGCTTTATAAATAAACGACCAATACGGTATCTCCATTCATTCCCATAGATAGCAAATAAAATCTGTTCTGCAGTTTATTGTAGGCCTCTGTTAAATGGATCACTGCTTCAACAATGGTCACTACTGAGGTGAAGAAGTTGCTGCAATAAGGAAGTATTAATTCCACTATTATAATTTGCACTTGTGTGAGGATATTGGCCTCATCCACCATCACCTCTGTGGGATGGGCCCAGAGTCCTTGGATTGAGAAAGCAGAGGCAGGATTGGGACACAGCAGCAGGGAAACCCAAGATCTTCCCCAGCACAACTACACTCAGCACTGGCAAATGTCTGTATTATCATCATCATTCTCAGTCCTACAGCAGAGCACCTCCTCAGGCACTTTCTTTTTTCTGAGGATGCTTCTATGGTTTGGGGTAGACACGTGGGTCACAAAAATCAAGAAGGCCAGATAGCTTTCCCTGGTGACTTTTTCACGTTAGCATGTGCTGTGTACCACTGAAACCCTTCTGCTTTCTTCTTTGTGGTCCTCAGTTCAGAAAAGTGGAAGCTTGGATAGTAAATGTAATTACTGGATGCCCTCAGCATTCTGACCAGCTGAAATCAGGGTTGTTTTTGACCCAGTGCTACTGCTGGTGGTACACCCAGCAGCACCACTCACCCATCTGAGCCTGCAGAGGCCAAGTAAACATAGGAACAATCTGCAAGAAGATGAAGCAATCCTTCGGGCTTCCTTCCTCAGCCAGTTTAAGAAACCACAAGGCTTCGAGACCAAAATGTACCAGTCTGAGCAGTGTCATGCAAAGAGGCATTCTGGTGCGATTTAAACCCAATCCTACAATCAGAGATGCCTTATGTGTGTGCAGTCCTGGGGACACTGGGTAAACCTGACTTAATGCTTCTGTTTTCCCCTAGTGCTTAGTTGCAGTGTGGTTATCTTGCCAGCACAGTTCCACTGTTGAGATTCCAAGGCTACAGAGAGCTGCTCCAGTAACAGCAGCTTCCCCAAACCACAGCACACCATGCTCACAAAAGCTTTCCCTCTGCTCAGCAACAGGGCAGTAATGTGATAGCAGGCATCTGGTAGACTCAAGGGTCTGATGTCAGCAAGAAAAAACATCCACATTTCATTTTCAGTTGCTTACTATATATATACTAAATCTTTCAATCACTTTTGTGGGTAAACAGCTGGTTTTGTTTGTCCTTTATGGAGTCAAGCAGAAGAAAAAGGGCAGCTTGTCTGTACACAGAGGCCAGGACAGCTTTAAATATGACACAACTCCTTCTCAGTTTAAAGTAGTGACTTGGGGAGTCTCTTACTGCTGAAGATAGGTGCATAATAACCCAACATTTACTACACGTGCTTGTTGCCTGCTGCAAAGATAAAGCATGATCTGTTACACTGTGTGTGTGCAGTTTAATTTGTGCTCACCAGTGTGCACACACACAGCTACTGCAGCTGAGCTATGGAAGCAATGATTTTTTTAAGCTAAGGAAATACAAGTGGGGCTTAAGGGGACCTCCCTGCCTATGTCAGTGCTGAGCAGACGTGCCCAGCCCACAGTGCAGAGCGGGCAGACAAATTTGTAAACATTCAGAACGATGCAAGCAAGCAGGGTGACTTACTGGAACAGTTACCTTTCTTTAGTAACACCACTGTGGCATCGCAGTTGCTGTTGTCATCCATTTCCGTGTTATTTGCCAATCCATTCACCATGTTTGCTGCGTTTTTTGTCTTCCTTTCCAAGCAGTGTTGTATGGTAGAGTTGTACCTGAAGAAATAAAAGGAATTCTAGGTGTACCTTTGCTGCTTCTACATGGATTTCTTGACACCGCCTTTCCTACATTCAGCTCCTGGCTTTAAGGACATCAAGGGATAGATAGCATGCTCAGCTCCCACCAACCTGCATGCAGTGCAATGCATCTGTTCCCAGAAGGCTTGGAAACATGTGAGAAATCAACAGAGCACTTGTCTGTTTATCTACATGTAATATTTCCATAGCAAATAATGCTTACTCATCATTGTGCAAATTTATTTATTATCTGCAGTCACTCCTGAGTATGAGTGCTATTTTGCCTGTGAAAGCAAACCAGAGAAACGTGAGACCACGTGCTAAGTTCTGGCCTCGACTTTGAAAAGAATTATATAGAAAACAAACATATTTGCTTCTTATCTTATTTTGAGTAACCAGGAACTGACACAGACATGAGCTCAGGATCTCACCACAAGACTCAAAGGGAAGGATGGACCACTGTAAGGCTGAGGCCCCTACAGCCACACCAACAGTCAGGCAGGTCAGAAACATCTGTTCAAACTACAGCATCACTTTAAGAAAACAAATCCACTCCAGATTGAAACAGCACAGCTACCTGTTTTGTTGGCCAGTGTTGTAAGTGTGAACCTGCTCTCCACATTAAAGTTTCTAATTACTAGAAGTAAGAGGAATTCTGACTTGTATTCCCTTCTATTGAGCCTGTTTTGCTGCTCTCACTGAGAATTGCTCTCCTAATATTTACTCTGTTCATCATTTCAAAACAAACTTCTACTCTTACTTGTTGAGAAAAGACCACTGGTGTGCTTGGTGGCTGGTAGGTTTTGTTTAATGTTCCAGCTTAAATCCGGGTTTCTTTTCCACTGGCTTTTAGAAACAAGGCAGGAGGAGGGGAATCGAACAGCAGAACAGACCAGCTCCTCCAGCATCATCTGGTATGAAGGAAGCTAGGCAGCTCAGATGCTCATGAAATCAGCGCTGGTTGTGCTGCAGTTTTATTATGGGTCTCAGAGCAAGGAATAATGAAACACAATGGGGTTTTGTGCCCACAAAAAGGTAGAGAGGAATCTCTTACTTCATGATAACGATGTAGATGGCATACATCAGCACCAAGACCAAGGACTCCCACCTGCAAACAGAAGGAACACAAAGTACATCAGAGCAGGACCTGGTGCTGAGCTCCTGCTGCCTGCTGTGTACTAAAATTCATGGGTTATGCTCTCGTTTGGGAGTTTGGCACCTCACACTAACCATGCCAAACCTCACTCCTGGCAGTTCAACACCCAGCTTCCTCATTGATGGGTTTGAATGGGGCACGGTCAACTATAATTGGGTCTCAAGTCAATTTCAGTTAAAAACAAAACAAAATGATAACCAGCCATTGCAAAACTCAGCGTTTCAGAAATCCTCTGAAATTAAACATAAATCCCCCAGTAAGAAAGAGTTTAAGAAAACACACAGCCCAAGCAACCTGACTCCCCCTAGTGCTTGTGATCTAAATAATGCTGGCTGAGGAAAAACAAAGCTACCACTGTCACTCTCCAAGCTCTAAGATGAGCTGAAAACACAACGATCTCGGCAAAAGTTTTGATTCTCAAACCCCTTCTCTTCCCATGAACCCTGTGTACGGCAGCTTTTGTGGTGTAAACAGGAAAAATGAACAAGAAACATAGCCAGATTCACTTACCAGGAAACCTTTTCGTCGTAAATAAACTGTAGAGGAAAGATTAAAAAAGAAGCATGTTAAATAAGAAATGCATGACAGCATGCACCAAGACTGCAAACAGCTCATCCCCCCCAGCAGGTGGCAGTGGGGATATAGCAACCTAGGGCAATGGCATTAGGCTGTCTTCTGTTTCCCTGGGAACCTTTCAGCTCTCACGTTTCTCCCACCTAGAAAAGCAGAGCAGCATTCCTCCCTAAAGCCCACAGGGTCCTGTGGAATCAGTGCTGAGCTGAAGAGGTGAAGGGCAAACAGGTGACCTGGAGGAGCTGCACCAGCTGGTCTCAGCATAGATACTGCAATCCTTCAGCAGCAGCTGGTCTGTAGGTATGCAGATTTACAGCCATTTCCACACCTGGCATCAATGACAGGTGCTCCAACAACACTGAAAACCAGCCCCAGGGCAGAATTTCCTTAAGAGCTAAGCTTGAGATTCTTAACAAGCACTGTTAAAGTCCTGTCAGTACGTCTGAAGGTTTCCCCGTGATGCTGTGCTCCTTGGGAAGGAGTGATGTCTTTCTCCTGCTGTGTCTTGGGGAATACCAACGCTGTGCCATAGAAGTGAAGGGGTTCACACCCATCTATCTAAAAAGCCTTGGCTTTTGGGGTTTGAAGAGGCAGATGTTAGGAGGTCACCAGCAGATGGCCATCATGTTCCACTGCTGAATTCACCAGCACCAGCAGATGCTGGAAGCAGAGGGGACTGCTGTGGTGGCCTTGCTGGCAGCATCCCTCTCACTCTGCTTCTCTCTCCACCTCCAGTGGGCCTCCGTGTGAGCTCTGCTCTACTGCCAGTCCCAGAGCTGGGGATGCTGAGACTGCCTCATGCTGCAGCCACGGTGGGAAGGGCAGTGCTGGCATGGATGCTCACGAGTGGTCCAGGGGCCCTACAGCCCTGGGCTTCACCCAGTGGACCAGGTGCCAGCTGGAGAGGATCTTGCTGGCCACTTGGTCCTTCCCAGCACCTTCACCTGCTTTCAGCTCAGTGCTGTACGAAGGAGTGGAAGTGCTGTGTATGCCACTAGGAAAACACACCCAAAGAAGTGGTGGAGAAAACCAAGGGAAAGGAAACGGCCTTTAGAAATTACAACAAAACGCTTCCCTGAAGCTAAAGAGCCTGTAAATAGCAACTTGTGTTTGATGGAGCAGCAAACAATAGCTGTATTTGTTACTGGAAGAACACATGACAGCAAGACATTATGCATGCTATAAGTCACAGCCCCAGTCATGGTGATCTAATCTGACAACAGCTATTTTAGGTTGCACTGTGTTGGTGTGGCAGGGCACGAAAGCTTGTGCATTGACCTTTGTGATTAAAAATAGCATCCATCCCACTTCTTTCACTAATGACAATGACCGCGTCCCTTTGAGTTAGGAAACACTGGGATCTTTTTTCTTTCAAGGGAAATAAGGAGTAACAGTTCTTGCCAAGCTTTAAAAGAAAACCAGCTTTGTAATGTAATTTTAAGGTGAAAAAAAATAATCATGCAGCTAAATCAACACAAGGTAAGAGTGATAAAGTTGGCCCACTTCTAATTGCTGTGATGCGGAGTTCACTCGCTCTTATCAGCTGGCATGGAGCACCAAAGAGGTAAGTTTGTTGGTTGCTTTGCTGTTTCTTACTGCAGCACTGCGAATCCTTTGCTGGTTGAAATGGAAGGAGATAAACTCGCATGGATTTACCCAGCAGAATTTTAAGCTGTTGCATTTCAGTGTTGGCAGGAATGTATTTATCTCTTCTCAGGTGTATTTATGATTAGCAAAGGCACCTGTGGAGTGTAGCTCATATGAGAGCACCACAAGCTGCTCTTCAAAATAACGTAAGCTCAATCTTCTACAAAGCAATATTATCCTTCAAGAAAGATGATTATATTCTGGCTGCAGCAGAGTCTCAATGCCCCAGCACGGCAAATTATCCCTATATAGTGAAGTGTTTAAATGCTTTCTAAAATGTACGGTCCATACAAGTCTAACAAATGAGAAAAACAGTGCAAGTTGTGCTGTGCTCTGCACAGAGCCAGCAGCATGTCTGCCAGGGGGAGACAGGGGACTGGAGAGGCAGAATTCAAATATCAGCATGCTGACATCTCCTTTTGATTCTGCCTTAAAAGGAGATAGAGGATCCGAGCCACTGTAAAGCCTGGGGTCCTTAGCTAAATGATGGAGAGAAAATTCTTGAGTGAAGTAGTGTTTGGACTCCAAAAGGAGAAATCCTCATTTGCCATCGTCTGAGGAGCAATGCTACATAGGACATGGTTGCTAAATCACTCGGGAGCTAAATCTTTAATCACTTAAGATGTTCTCTCTTCTTCTGATTTATCTCTGTTTTTCTCTAACAGGTGTTTAACATGTCTGTGCAGTGACTGCTGTGGAGTAATGCTGAAGAGATGGGGGCCTGTTCCACATCTCCCAAGCCACAATTGGCCATGAAGTGCTCTGACACCCGCATCGCAGTGCTGGCAATGCCTCCAAGCCCTACTCTGGATGCATGAAGGACCTTGAACCTCTTCAGGTCTAAAAAAAATTACAGTTCTCTGATATTATGGGGTATAGTTCAAAAGAAAAGGATTTCTGCAGTTCTGTAATGCCTGTATGAAACACCCCATCCAAACAAGTGGCCAAATGGCAGGCAGCTGCCCACATCTGTGCTTTCCTTGGACTAAACTAATGGAATCATATCACCAAATCATAGAATGGCCTGGGTTGAAAAGGCCCACAATGCTCATCTAGCTCCAACCCCTGCTGTGTGCAGGTCGCCAACCAGCAGACCAGGCTGCCCAGAGCCACATCCAGCCTGGCCTTGACTGCCTGCAGGGATGGGGCATCCACAGCCTCCTTGGGCAACCTGTTCCAGTTCACACCACCCTCTGGGTGAAAAACTTCCTCCTAATATCTAACCTAAACCTCCCTTGTCTCAGTTTAAGACAATTCCCCCTTGTCCTATCACTATCCACCCAACACCTGCTAGATGTCTTATGCAGGGTAATCTATTACGATTACTGGATGTGGTGGAGTTCATTGGTCAGGAAGAGTTTTTGGTATGATGCTACCTGTCAAGCAGAAATAAAAGTTTTTAGTTTTGCAGCTCATTACTAATAGTTAGGTAGCTTTAATTCTAGCAGCAGCATTGATGCATACATTAGATTGAAGACCTTGCAGAACAAAAGCACAAACAGCTTAAGGCAAACCCTCTGTGTGAGGTTAGAGACATAGGCCTCTGTGCCTATAGAATATGCACATGGCATACGGATGTTGGATGAGCAAAGGCAAAACAAAGCACACCATGTCTAAGGAAAACTGCATAAACTTCAGAAATGCGAGTGTTCATCTTCTGACTCCATGTTCCTTCTTCTTGCTCGCATATGGGATTTGACCTCACAAAATCTCTTCCTTTCTTGGGGAATGTACAGTCCTAGACTACATGCCCAAGCAAAGAAATATATATATGCACAAAGTAGAAACTGTTACCAGAAAAGACAATTTTTGCATATCCCGACCTTGGTATTTCTTCATCTCTTACCCTTTAGCCATGCTTTTCTACAGAACCACGGAGACCACACGTTCATTTTTCCAGAAAATGAAAAACCACATGGCTCCTGGAGTGAGGACCTTAGCTACAAAACTTTGGTTTCCTAGTGAGATCCCTCTACAGCAGACATGTGGGCTCCCACAGAAGAATAACATGCACAACAGTCTTTGGAAACTTACCACAATGAGTGCAACAACAGACAGTGTATAGTAGATTGAATCTCTCAAGAGACTCCATGATGACAGTGCAACAACCTGGGGAAAGAGGCAAAGAGAGGACGTCAGGCAGGTCCAGGTGTAAGCCACAGGAAGGCAGACGATGGGAGCTACTTTACACCATTCTGAATTGACCTCTGAATGTATCAGTGTTTTTCCTGACCACATCCTCCAGTCATGCCCGTGCATGAAATCAGCCAAACAAACAGCAAGTTCATTCTCCTTTCTGTCTACAAAAATGTCTTATTTCAGAGTGCTATCAATGCATAGTTTCCCAGATTTCTCTGTTTATTACAATACTGTAACTACCCTGACTGCTTGCAAAACAAATACCATAAAAAGATATTGACCATCACGCTTTAAAATCTCTATGGCCTCTTAACACTAATGTGGATGTAATTTATGTCTGGTGTAAAGTCTTTACGCAAACACTGACATGTAAGAAACTCTCATGTAAGAAAAAGACACCCCCAAAATAATAAAAAGCAAAGCAGAACCCTTTGAAGTCCTTGAGTCAGATTAGGTTTACACCAGCTGACAACACGTATCTACATGTGTAAGGATAGATGAATGGAGATACTTTGTGATGGAAATTTCCAAATGTAGAAACCTGGAGTTAGGTTCATAATTGGGCTCAGAGACCTTTAATTAAATCTTACAGATAGTGAACTCCTTCCTTTTGATTGAGCGTTGCACTGAGCACTGATTGAGCACTGCGAGATGGTTTATAAAATAACTTGAGATGATTCCAGTCACCTTTTACAGCACTATTTAAGGTCCTATGTTCCTTTCTGAGCACAGATAATGCTTTTTTCCTAGGGAAATTTCCTCTAACACCTGAGTGAACACAGCCAAGCCTTCAAATACAGCTATCCAGGAGGGATCTAGTGCAGAAAGGTCACAGACCAGGACAGCAGGGAATCACAGACTCCTGCCCTGATTTCAGATTGGAGTGAAGGCAATACGCTCCTGCCTGGGACTGCTACAAACTGCTCACATGCCACAGACATCCTAGCAGCTATCTCTCATGTGTAAATATGGGCAATAAAAGCCCAGGCCTCCTGAGAGGGCCGAGTCATTGAAGTGAAGTCTTCGAGCCATCTGATCACTGGGAAGAAGAATCTGACAGAGGGAAGCCTTGCACATGAAGTAACCACGTACCAAGGCTAAAAGGAGCTAATTAGCACTGAGGGAAACAGCAGCACTTTCAGCCTGCTGACAGGAATTTTGTAGTCTCGTTGTAACTGTCAAGACCTTGAAGGCACAAGTCGTGCTATTCAGTCTTGCAGCAGCCAAGGGCTGCATGTAAATCTTAATGCACTGCAACCCTCCTAAATCACCATTAAGCAGATCACAACTAAGGCAGAAAGGAAATCAGGGAAGCAATCAGCTTGGGTAAAAACACAATGAGATTTAAGAGTTTGGAATCAGCAACGGTAGAAGCCAGAGGAAAGGGGAGCCAAGCACCAGGAGACAGCTGTAGAAAAACACTGATCGTTTCCTCCATTAAAGGAAGCACACAACATCCAGCCCCCAGACACGAGCCTTCACTTAACTACAGCACTGGGGACTAAATCTGGCCTCTCCAGTGCAGAAAGGAAGAGCTCTTCCATGTGAGATTCAGTGAGAGCAACTCCCCATGAGCAGACAAAGCAAAGGCCCTATAGCACACAACTCACCTGCACACTGCAGTGTTCCTACAGGTAAAACATGTCCCACATTGGAAACTGGGTTTCCTACTATTAACTCTCAGCCTGCAAACTGCTATGTTTGTAGTAACATTTACTGCACAGAACACTAATTTCCCATTTTGAAGGGCTGGAAAGAGCAGGGTGCCCAGAGCCTCAGAGGCAACGTATCCCAAGCTGGGGCATCACCATTCACCCTCTATAAAATTGACCATTCTCCTCTGCTCTTCCAAATTATTTCTCTCCTCCTAACTGTGCAGAAGCCCCTCTGCCAGCATCTTCCATCCAGAAAAGATGTGGTGACAGAGGCCATCGAGTTGGCTGTTTAAAGGCTATGTGCCTGTTCTCTCCATTGCCCACAGCAGACAAGGAGTGGTGCCTTTCCTTTGCTGTAAGCAGCGTGCTGTCTTTCTTTGCACTGTGACTTATTGCAGACATCATGCAGATCATGCAGGTCTTCTTTTTAAATTTTAAATTAGACGTTCCAAATCAGGCTTTTCATTTCAAGTAAGCTGGTAAAGTCTCAATCCCAATGGCAGTCACGTGGATACCGACGGGAGCATTACAAAAGTCAGTTCTGAGGGCTTTCATAAAAACCTGATGGCAACGCAGAAGAAGAGTGTATATTCTTTTCATACAGAGGACCAGACTGTCCTCCAGCTCTGTGGAGGAGATGCAGAGCTCATGTACAGACTGCTGATAGCACACCCATGGGTCGGCGTGCTTGCTCTCTTTTCTTCCCAGAGGAGGGACTTGCAGCACTGCTGTGCCCCTCCTCCTCTGTGCAGTACCACAAAATGCATTGCTTTTGCCTGTTTGCCTCCTGTCCCTCACACTGAAACTGCTCCAAAAGCCATGGCTTTCCATGCAGTTCAAAGCAGGACAATGTGAGCAAGGTGCCAGAATAAACTGAGACAGCCTTACCTGGCAATGCAGGTAACAACAGGCTAAGAAAGCAGGCAGCAAACACCAGCCTAGTACTTGACAAGCCACTCAAAAGAGCTGTAGGATGTATGAGAAGCAACCAACCAAGCTGCTTCGCGGCACGGTTAAACTTCCTGTTTACGCAGGAAGGGCAACGCCACAAAAGCAGTTACAAACCCACATCATTTCGTCACGCAAAAGCCTTTGCAGTGCCTCCCATCCTGAAATCTGCCTTTGTGCTACTGTGAACAAACTCAGAAATTACTATCAGCACTTCCCACGTCTCTTTTCCCCCATATCCACAGTCAGCGCAACCAACCCTTGGTTTGTTAGCCACAGGAACTCAACAGCAGTAGCCTAGGCATGATATTCAGCTGGAACAAAGCATTTGTTGCAGTAACGTATTCCTATGGGTCTTTCAGGAAGAGAATTACCTTCAGTCCACTGTGAAATCCCCATCTCATAAGGGGCTTCTTCGTCAGTAATTGCACAAGCAATAATAGCGTCATTAGCACCATTTTGCTTGCTCCAGGTGAACATAAATGGAAGATGTATTAGAAATAAATATCATTATTGGATCTGAATGGCCTTAAGGAAATCCAGTCCATCATTCTGAAATCACAGCTGCAAAAATTAAAATAATCTCCACCACACAACCCCTACTTTCTCCACCAGGTACTTGTGAGAGAAAGAAATGATGTGGTAAGACACAGCAAACCTGCCCACGAGGACATATCCTTGTATGCCACACTGTTATGCTATGGGTTGGACAGTGCTACATTTGCAAAATTCTACTTATGTGCAATCATATGTCATCTGTCTCAGTTCTGGGTAGAAATAAGAAAATCTGCTCCATCATGCTCAGGTAAAACATAGTAGGTTCAACTGCATTTTACAGTTAAATACAGACTAAGGTTCATTCAAATCTCAAAAGTCACATCACTTAGGGAGACATTCTTACAGTTCCTACAAACAGAGGCACTTAAAAATCATGGAGCTTTTCTGGAACCTGGACAAACCTCTGGGGCAGTTTCTTGAGCCTTTGCTTTGTTATGTACATCAGCAGCAATGACACAAAGCTGCTGGGTGCCATTGAGGTGATTCCTCTCCCACAGGCAGCTCTCCTGACAGAGCTGAGCATCACTGCCTATCTCTGGTGAATCTGTCAAAGGCCTCAACCTCTGGGACAGCCTTGTGAGGCTTCATCTCCCAGGGTACATTTCCCTTGACAAAGCACGGGCTTTCCACTTTGCCATTTATTACTTTAGGATGTCCCTGCTTGGCTCCAGTAATTGCAGAGATCCTGCCACCTGCCTGTTCACCACCACTGGTCACAGTATCAATGAAGCATCCTATATTAATGTGAGACAATGGCACTGCCTCATCTGTATTCCTCTTTATATTAAGCTATGCAATTGTGACTTCCAGCAAGGAGTCACTCAAGAGCCTCCGTGCATTTCTTGGAAGGCACATCCCCACGTGTTAAGACTGAAGAGGAGGGCCAGTCTGGAAAGGAAGATGTTTGTTTGGGACTGAAGCAATTCCTTGTCTTGCCCCAAGCCCTGTGGTCTAAGCTCAGATGAACCGAGCAAGCAATATCCCTTCTTTGTATATGGCATAAAGGAACATTTTAACCAACAGCAGCACCACCAGAGAACAAATATGCATGGGAATGAACGAGACTGCAAGCCTCAATTTCACCAGCATCATTCCCACAGTAAAATGTGAGTTGAGCCTGAGCCAAAGGGCACTGAGCCCTACTGAAAATCCTGTAGTTTAGGTATAGGTTTATGGTATAGGGCACTGAGTCCTATGCAAACCCTATTCCCTGAACTTTGGGTTGGTGCTCTGCAGGCAGGTCCTCCTGCACAAAAGCAGCCCTCAGCAAAGGGAGTGCTAAGATTACCTCTGTGGCTCAATGGCTGCAGACTGTGTGCACTTCGAAAGGTCACGACCAAAAATAAGATCAGAAATAGCAACTCTGTGTTTAACATTCTGCTCACACTCGCTCTCAATCTTGATCTTAAACGTATCAGTCTTAGAGCAATCGCAATGAAGATACAAGGCAGGAAGGAATTTCGGAAGATAATTACTACCATCTTCCAGCAGAGCTTGTAACTGCCTAACCATCAGGACCTGCAAGTTAATTTTCACGTAACTTGCCTTATTTTGGGAATTATGTCCCACTTGCAGTGAGCAATCAGTTGATCAGAAGCTTATAATCATTAGCTGCAAAACAAACAGCAAACATCACAGGGTGCAAGTTTCCCCTCAGCCAGACACAAACAAACCAGAACCTGTGAGTCAGGCACGCTTATTCCCTCTTTCTGGAGGGAAAAGAAACATGGATGAGAGCAGGGTCTGAACATCTTCAGATGCTTTGCAGGGAGCTGGGGTCAGAGCTGCAAAGGCACGAGGCACTGCAGC